ACCTCCCCCCCCCTCTCTCTCTCTCTCTCTCTCACTCTCTCTCTCTCTCTCTCTCTCTCTCCATTCATAAACTGTAGAATAAATAAAATATAATTCATCTTCGTCATGACAGAGCCTGTTTTGTTAGCACTATGCACACAGGATAAGTGTGTAACTTTAGAAAATTTGAGAGTTTGAATTCTAATCTTTTAGGTGGGGTGGGGGTAGCCTAGTGGTTTTAAGTGTTCTCTCATCATCCGAAGTCCCCGTTCGATTCCCCACATCGGTACAATGTTTCAAGGCCATTTCTGGTGTCTTCCGCCATAATATTGGAATATTGCTAAAAGTGGTGTAAAACCATACTCAGTCTTTTAGCAGGGTGGAGGGTCGTCTGCAGGTCTTCCCTGCTGGAACTGAATTTGGTGTTTGGTAATCAATTCTTGGGTTATGTGCCATGTTCTTTATCAGTAAGGCCAGACCAATTGTATTTCTTGCTTTACATATTTTTGACCTCAGAAGAATTTCTTGTAAGTTCACATTTTTGACCAATAAAAACATTAGGATTTTATTTTTTGAGCGGGAAAAATTCACTTTTATTTCTTTTCGTATTCTTGAAATAATACAACCGGAGGATACGTAAAACAAGAAATAGAATTGGTCTGGTCTAAACTTGAAATATAGGTGTGCTTATACAGTATGCATGAGAAGCAATGCATACAGGACACCTTTAGCACAGTAAAAGATGCAAATGTGTTATGTAATTCTTAAGATATCAGAAGTTTAAACATTTGGGACATCTTTGAAATAGTGTGAAATGAGAGGTAGTTGGTTATGATGCCTCTATCAGTATCATACCAGTCACATCCCAATCAAGGGCATCAACTGTATATATTTGCATTGGGGTAGGGAGAAAAACCAATGCCTGTGGCGTCACATAAGTTTATGCAGCTGAACATAGACAAGCATGTGCAAGGTGAACATGTCACAGTGGACATTTTCTCTCCAAGTATAGACATCCATCAAAGCCTGGTGTTAGCTATAGCTGTTTGTGTATTCAGAAATGTTGTCGAGCATCAGCTGACCAGATAAAAACTAACCATTGTCAGATTTCCCCATAAAATGACAAAAAGAATTGAGTTTTGTTATTGATGTTTTATTACTAAAATACAGAGCAGCCTGTCTTGAAATGGGACAGGCTAGCAGAATACTATGAAATGTAATTATATACGTGGAGGTTACATGTATATGGCATTGAACATAATACCCATCATATTTGTGAAAATATAAAATAGTAAACAAACCAAGGTAGCTATTTGAAAATATTTTCATAAACAGAAGCATCCCCTACACCCCATTCCTTAAAGTATTTTCAAGTGTTACACGAAATAATTTAAAACCATACAACTGATTAAAACCAACAATAACCAAGTCTATGATATAAATACAAGTATTACAATCACATTTCACAATCATCTGTGTGTGTGTGTGTGTGTGTGTGTGTGTGTGTGTGTGTGTGTGTGTGTGTTAGCCTATAGCTAGTGGTTAAAATGTTCGCTCAACACACCGAAGACCATGTTTCGATTCCCCACATGGGTACAGCCCATTTCTGGCGTCCCGCGTCGTGATATTGCTGGAATATTGCTAACTCACAATCACCTCAAATGTCACCTTGAATGTTGACATAGCACTAACATTAAACATAGCAGTAATTATAACCAGACATGAAAATAGGGAATACCTTGCATCATATATGATAAGTAGAAATAGTAATAATAAGTGAAACAGCTACATGAACACTGACATCAACTTTAATGATCATGACCAAAACCTTCAAAGAACAGGGTATCCATTTGAAAGAAGAAAGCACATGTCATGTTTAATTATGCATGTGTGAGTTTCTTCTTAGAACCTGTGTTGTCTTGTGACATGAGCATTTTACCAAAACAATTCCCCGGGACTAATGGAGAATAATCTCATTAATCTTTGTGTTGTAGTCATAACGGAAACAACACTGTTTCAGTGGGCTGCACATCTTGTTTATAAATTATTACCTTTATAAAATGATTTGGTATGAACTCATGATAGGTAACTACATTTCACAAATTGTCGTCCAGAAACAAAATATGGCAAAATCTGGAGCAACAAAAACTGACAAAGCTGAATATTTCATGATGGGGTAATTTTCTTTTTTCTAAGACTAACAGCATACAAATTAAATATTTAGATGTAACATCACATGTCAGACATTATTCACATATCATGAATTACACATATAAAACTTTCTTCGTTCTTTCAAAGGGCAACAGTTTTACATGCCTTCCATGGCAGACATGCAGAGACTTATTATTATGTTTCACAGATTAAAGATAGTATGCAGCAGAGAGGGTTTGGGTGATCTTGGCACAGTCAGGCTGTAAGGCTCATCATCAGCTCAGGGCCCTTGCCCCCTCTACACGCAGCCCAGAAAGCGAATGGGACTTCTCCCAGGAAACGCTGCCTAGTTGAACCCACCAAGAACTTTCCGGAGAATATGAAGGTTCCCCAACACTGCAGCCTTCTGCATTACCCAGAGTGTCAGAAGGGCTGTACTCCCGGTGGAGAACCCGGGCACTTTCCTGATCTGTGGCAAGAGATCAGGAGGTACCAAACTAAGGGCACCGAGAACAATGGGGAGCTTGACGACAGTGTACTTGGGATGCAAGCGAGACATTTCAAATATTTATCATGCTTTCCTTAATCTTGCCAATCACATTGGTGTCAAAAGGGACAGAAAATTCAATGATATAAATAAATTCATTGGCTTTATCAAAAAGGCCAAGATCAGGTTTGTTGGCTGGAATTCTTCTGAGGCTGTATATGGGCCTATTCGACAGAAGTTTGAAAGCATCATTTCCCATGACGCCCTGGACATGTTCAGGGTCGTACCATGGATGGACCTCGGAGTCAAAGCCACAGGCATGTCGGAGACGATAGTAAAAGCAACGAGCCATGCCATCATGTCGTTTAAGATATGCTGTTTGTGCCAAGGAAGGGCATCCACTGACAAGGTGTTGGACAGTCTCCGTGAATTCATTGCAAAGTCGACATTTCATATTGATATTTTCAATACAATGAAGAGACTTCAGAATCCATTCGTGAGGAACAGAGTCGTATGCTTTTTTGTAGTCAATCCAGCACATGGAGAGGTTGCGGTGATATGCTTTAGCCTCTTCCAAAATCATTTTTGTACAAGAAGTTGATCCTTGCACCCCCAACATCCCTTTCTCGCCCCCTTCTGCTCTCTGTAAATGATATCATTGGAAGAGCAGTAAGATGACACGAGGTTTGTCAAACACCCTGTGAATATTTTGTATTGTGTATTCAAACATGTGATAGGGCGGAAGTGTTTGGGATCAGTCAAGTCTCCTTTCTTGGGGAGAAGTATTGTGCGACCTTTGCAGAACCATGGAGGAACATCACCTGTGTCCACGAGAGAATTGAAACAGTGTAGTAATGGTGTTTGGACACAGGGGAACAGTTTCCAATACTGGTTTCGAATGCCATCAGGCCCTGGAGCTGTACTATTAGATTTGGACTTTTTTATAACACTTTTCAGGCAATCTGGTGAGATGTAACAGACAAACGACCTAGTTACCTTCTCATGCATTGCATGGTCATAATCACGGACCCATGGTGCCTCAAGGTTGCAGTTGCCGGGTACAGACCACAACTGTTTCCAGAACCTTTCATTGGCATCCATGGGAGGCCGTTTGACATGTTCACCATCACCCTTTGTTTTTAGTTGCCTGTAGAAGTGCTTTTCATTGTTTCTAAAAAGTTTATTTTGTTTGATGAATTTATTTTTCTTTTCTCATTTTTTCTTTCTTTCAGTCCAAACCTTTATTTTGGCCTTAAGGGAATCCACAATTTGGAGAAGTACCCTTTCTTTTGTTGTCTTGTAGTGTAATTTTAATTTTCTCCAAATTGTCTTTTGCCGTTTTGACATCGGACTCCCAGATGATCTTAACTTCAGGCACAGCTCTATCCAGGAAATGAATTTTCTAGTTTCCGTTAGTTTTACTTGAAACCGGTTTTTCTTTGGTGTATTGTTCTTAGTATTAGATGTTTTTTCTTTGGAAACTGTGTGAATTTCCTCCAAGGTTTGAGCGGCAGCATAGACACAACAATTAACTTCATGTAATGAACAGTCCGATGAAAGTTTCATAGAAATAATATCATTTAATAAATTGATTTCATTTTTGGGAAAAGATTCATTTGTTTGTTGAATCGGCCCCCGATTTTCTAAAGGTATGCCAGATATTTCATCATAAATAGAATGAAACAAAATATTCACAGGATTTTCGGAAAGATCTGCAACTAAGGAAGAGGAAGAGTGAGGGTCTGAAATTTCGTGGCCAATTGGCTCTATGCCGGAAGAGTTTCCATCAGCAAGAGGAAAGAGGTTGACACGGACGTCCATTGAAAGTTTTGGGTGTATATTTATATAGCGCACATATCCAGGCAACTAGTGCTTGCTCAAGGCACTGGTATTTTTTTCCCTTGATCATTGGATGTTAGTCTCAACGGCACATCGTATTATCAATCTCAACTCCCTCGGTAGTTTCCCGGGGCAGGTGATTGACATAAGCGACGATGTGTTTAATTTGTGGACGCTCGTCTGTGTACTTTTCTCGCTAGCTTCCCTGGGCTGGTGTTTACCCTACGCGGCGATGTGTTTAATTAGTGAGCGGCTGTTGCTTGCCGTGGCAGAGCTCGCTAATTGGGGACCTCTTTTTATCGAAAAATTTAACATGGGAATCCCCATTCAAAAATTTGTCAGCGTGACTAATACACAACTACTCAGGTCGATGGTACACATTTGTCATTTCATATGTTTGTGACGAGTACAGCCAATGAAGTATCACCATGGGTCACATCATCCTACCCGATCTATCTCATATGATGGTGTTTACAACATTTGACCCTGCTCACTGAACCTAAACAAGGAGGTACTCCTATTTCCGGGAACTCAGTTGGTTAAAGTTGTCGGGGATAGGGTCGGAGACGCCACACCTGTGAGGAGAACGGAGGCTGATGGTCGCACTCTGGATACTCCGGACGTTTTATGTACATAACTAATGATGCAGTTGGTTAGGAAGATATAGACCTTGAAACAACAGGTGAGATAAGTATTAGATGCTTTGGAAAAAAGAATGATAAACAATAGCCTGCTCACTGCGTTTGTGCCACTTTATAGTTATCGACTATCAGAGACCATGTATAAAATGGGGTAAAATGTAACGTTACTCATTTTGTTACAGTTTTTCATCTGTATTCAGCGCGATGTTATTCATTGTGTGACGGTGTTTGAACTGTATTCAGCGCGATGTTATTCATTGTGTGACGGTGTTTCTTCTGTATTCAGCGCGATGTTATTCATTGTGTGACGGTGTTTCAACTGTATTCAGCGCGATGTTATTCATTGTGTGACGGTGTTTCTTCTGTATTCAGCGCGATGTTATTCATTGTGTGACGGTGTTTCAACTGTATGCAGCGCGATGTTATTCATTGTGTGACGGTGTTTCATCTGTATTCAGCGCGATGTTATTCATTGTGTGACGGTGTTTCAACTGTATTCAGCGCGATGTTATTCATTGTGTGACGGTGTTTCAATTACATTCCACTGTTTCTGTTGACATTCAGTCAGGTGCGGTGTTATTCATTGAGCAATGTCAGTGTTTCATCTTTGTTCAAATGTTCCTTTCACATTCAGTAAAATGCGGTGTTACTCATTGTCTGACAGTGTTTGAAGTGTATTACACTGACAGTGACAAGAAGTAAGGGGAGTTTATGGATAACAACTTCTTTTATTATATATGATGCGACGTTTCGGTATGGATTCTTATACCGTTGTCAAGCAAGAGTAAAGTACTACAGCACAGAACCTCTTCACTGCGTCGCATCATATATAATAAAGAAGTTGTTATCCATAAACTCTCTTACTTTCTTATTAGTCACCAACTTCTAAATGCCAATCAAACAGATCACTGTTGGTGACATTTAAATCGATCTCTCCCAAGTGGCAATATACAATATTGTGCCACTGAAAAAAGGGTTTATGCATTGAGAGTTGTACGTTACACGGAGTGCACAGAGCTCGTTCTCATAATATGTTTATTTACATACAAGAGTTGGGATCTTTTCCTTGTCCCTTAATACTTGTTCCGTGCTGATTCCCAGGTAGAAAACAATGCAGGAGTTCAGCAGAAATCAGTCCGTAACGCAGTGCAACCAACAGACAAGGCAATGTGATATTCCGTAATTCTAAATTAGCTATGTTTCCAAAATAGTACAAATGACAACACATGTACAGGTATTTCAGTGACAGTATAAATTAAAGTGGCAGTACAAATTCAAAAGCAGTATGATACATTCTAGGATTATTGCAATGTAGACAGATATAGTAACTGCAACCACCGTGAAAAGAAACACTGAAGAACAATTCCCCAACTCCCTGGGTCAGAATATAGAAGAATGGCCCGTAGGGATGTAGAACCCAGTGGTATAACTTCCAGAACTCGTCTAAATATAGCACACACTACTCCCTTCTGTACAATTTTAAACATCTGGGCCTAGATTTTTGAAGCTCTCTTAGCGCTAAGATAGTCGTAAGTGTCATTAAGATGAACTTATGACTATCTTAGCGCTAAGATCGCTTCGAAAATCTAGGCCCTGGAGCGTGTTTACACAATGGATATATAGTGCTGTCATGTAACAACAAACCGTTACGTTTACCATGGTAGATTATGTGCATAACGAAAATGTAGTTCTTTGTCCCCATATTTGTAATTTGTCCTCATTTGTTTTAATCATCATGAAGAAATAGTCAACATTTTAGTTATATTTTGGTATTTTAATTCACGTGTTCATACACAGGTAAGACACATAACAGTGACATTATGCCTACAGCAAGCTTTTAAGTATGGTGCAAATCCACATGCTCGCATCAAACCAACGTCATAACATTGCAAGCCACGCCTTGCCTATTTTGGCGTATCTTTAACAATTGTCAGTTGCAGTTACGTTTGGAATTAATTGTAACTTTGGAGAAAGCATGGCCCTACACACTAAAGCAAATACCAGATGAATGAATCAGCATTGCATAAGATGTTATTCTGATGTCAACAAAATAATGTATACGATGAGCGATGTCCATGCACTGTTTGTTGTTTCAGACACAATGTTGAGGACTCTCCTTGTTTTGCTGACATTCACAGTGTGCCAAGGAAATGTACAGATTTGTGCAGTGCATTATGACAAGCAATATGGAGGTTTGTTTGCTGACTGTACTGGAAGAAAACTTCAACATGTTCCAGACTACCTTCCGGAAAATATAACAGCTCTGGATATGAGTGAAAATGATCTGAAAATTCTCACAAATAACACATTTTACAAGTTTAGGAAGCTCATCTACCTTAATATCAACATGAACCCGCTGTCAGAGATGGAACCAGGGGCATTCAGGGGCCTGTTTAGTCTCACTAAATTTCTCCTTGCTCGGAACAAGCTGCGATCAGACAAAGTGTCTTTCCCCGAGGAAGTCTTCCGTGACCTTGTGTGTTTGCAAACTCTAAATCTTGAAAAAACTGAAATGAAATCATATCCGGATTGGGTGTTTCCCCCTCTCGTCAAGCTCCACAGTCTGTATATCGACTCAGTTCCTGATCCTTTGTTTGGTCCAGGATTCTCCAACCTAACAAATCTGAAAGTACTCCAGATGGACTCCAGGTTTATATACGGAGGCGAATGTTCAACAGAAAAATTAAGAAATGAAACATTTCAGAGTTTAAATGAAACAAAGCTTGAGGTTTTGGTTTTAAATCATTGTGGTATAAACGACTGTGAGCCAGGCGTTCTGGAGCCACTATTGTTTCTAAAACAGTTGGAACTAACCCACAATCAGATAGGAAACCACAACGCTTTACGTCTTCTCTATCCCTTCGTAAATCTGAATATGACCAGGATTTGGTTCAATGCTACATACAAGCACAAAATGCACGATCAAAAAGACCTTGTTGATAAAAGCCTAACTAAAGAAAGTATGCGTTATCTGAACAAAATATGTGTCACTGAAGTCTCTTTGAGAAGCAATCAATTATACTTAGTCGAATATGCAGCAATCTACCAAGATCCATTTAAAAGTTGTTTGAAAGTTCTTGATGTGTCTGACAATTTTTTTGTTGGGGATTTTTTTGTACTATTTTTCCTTTTTAGATTTTCCCACCTTGAATATTTCAATTGCAGCCTGCAGAAAATAGACGGTGACTTTCCAAGGACTCAAAGTTATGAAACATTAGGTAAAAGCATAACAGTAACACTCACATTGCCTCCTAAGATTAGATATTTTGGTTTAATTGATATATCAGGAGGTTCAAGCACCATCAAAGAAATCGTATTTCAAAACACACACAACCTGGTAACTGTTCTCCTGGCTTCTAACTTGATTCATGGTTTAATGCACATTGGGGGTTTAGAAAATGTTAGCAATGTTGATTTATCAGGAAACAAGTTTAATGATGTGTTTGATTTTCACTCATTTGAAAACGCAACACATTTGACATTACGAAATTGCGAGTTACAATTTGCCCATAAATCCTTTAGTGAACATAGTGTATTCAGTCCTCTGAAATCAATACAATACTTGGATGTTTCAATGAATGAACTGACTGATATATCACTTCGTCCAATTTCTAATACAATCGTTCATCTAAATTTATCTCACAATGAGTTTGACACCATTCCTATTGAAACCATTGAATATCCACGGCTTATCCTTATCGACATGTCCTTTAACCTGATTGGACAGTTGGATAAAGACACAAGATCAAAACTGGATTTGTCATTTGAAAAGAACAACCTCAAACTTATTTTCAAAGGGAACACCTTTTCTTGTAGCTGTGAAAATCTGGACTTCATTCTTTGGTTGGTGGATACACCTGTCATTTACGAGACTGACAGGAACTTCCCTTGCATTCTGGATAATGGCACAATGACAGGAACTGTGGATGTGGTCCAACATCATGAAAGATTGTTTCGTTACTGTACAGGCAAACTGATGCTTAGCATCACAGTTACATTAATGGTTGTAATGTTTACTTCAATTATTGCTGTATACATAGTCTCCAACAATCCAGTGCGATATCATAATGCTTTACTGAAACTCTTTGGGTTGGGCATTCAATATTTAACAGCCAAAGATTTTGATTTCACCTTCTTTGTCGCGTATTGTGAGGCTGACATTCCTTTCGTCTATCGGAAAGTACGACCAGAGCTGGAACTGTGTAATCAGCCTGTGCGTCTGTTCCTGAAGGATCGGGATGTTCTTCCAGGTGTTCCTATCGCCGACGGTATTATTTGCGGTATCACTAACAGTTGGAAGTCTGTTCTGGTGATTTCAGATGACTTCCTTCAAGATTGTTCTCAGTGGTCACAATTTACCATTGATGCAGCACTTTATTCGGTAACGGATCTGATTCCTAACCGGATCATTGTGCTACTTGTGGGCCCCGTGCAGGTGGAGGACCTGCCTGAGCGTCTGCTGAATGTTGTAGAGGAGAAGTGCATATTGCGTGCAGAGGATTACCAGGACGACGGAGACCGTATTCTGTGGAAGGATATCAGATAAACCGCTGGAAAGTTATTAATAAGACGTTGATGACAATTGATAATGATGAACATGGCAACAACAGGACTAAACATAGTTCATAATTATAGGAAACATCCATTTCCACTTCCACGATTATAGACCGACATCTTATGTAAGTGATTAATGTGATCCGCGTCTTGAGATTAATGTCGATTTATGATGTCAGTTGATAGAAAGTACCTGTTTGTTTCAGCTTTAGATGTACATGTGTATAGCTATGTCCCGGTACATTTACTCTACCAAATATCCTTTGAACATCTGTAACTAACTATGTCGGCAGAAAATACGCATATATTTTATCACTTCATTCTAGCGTCGCATGGTCTCCTATGAAACATGTAGTCCTACATGCGTTTTCCTGTTTGCTGGAAGACACGTACTGTAAACGTCAAATGTGGTGATAGGTATGGATATGCATGATCTGCAAATTTAATAATGATAAGAAATGTTCATTTTCATGATTATAGGTCAACGTCACAATTAAATTCTAGAAACCTCAAAGTCCAGACACTCTCCACACTGTGGCCAGTTTCTGGCAAAGGAGTTCACAATTTTCATTCCCATTTTCATTTGACCAAGATTGTATTCAAGTGATAACAGTGATGAACAGATTCCTGTCGATTTAGTATATCAGTTGATATAAAGAAACCGCTTGTTTCCCACAACTATTCTTTATCAGTTATAGATGTACATATGTATAACAGCATTTTCCTGTATATTGGTTTGGGGTTCTTTGTTTTCATGCACAAAATGCACGTCAGTTCGTTGAGTATATTTTCCATGTTTATTATCACCAATCATATCTAATACTTTTCTGTGTGCCTTTCATGTAGAAAAGAATAATCCTTTCCAATAGTTTATTCTCATATTTCACTAGCGTATAATATTTCTATTTCTCACATGTTTAGCTTTTATAACAAACAATAACTACATTCACAATTATAACATTATTTTAGTATAAACAACAACTACCAGGAATAAAAAGTCTATTCTGCTAAATAATTCTTGGAACATCTCTCACCAGCCATGTTGACAGATGATAAATATTTTATCATTTTATTCCAGGGTCCTACTGTCTCTTAAACAAACATCTGGAACATGCAGTCTAACATGCATTTAACAATATAATGCAATATAACATATGAACAGTGTGTCGCTAGAAGGCCTGTTTTGGAAATGTTAACATTTTTGATAGCTATGGATGTGCATGATATCCAGTCAGTACGTCTTGTAACACAACTTTTAAAATAACCTCCATCGTTTCCAGAAGGGGTTGGTCATGACATGAATCCAAACTTACTCACATGCAGGAACAAATTAATATTTCACCAAATTTGCTGTCAACCTGGCTTCAGCCTGAATATGTTGAAGAAGGCACGGGTCAGTGTGGAGTATTTGTCCCACTTATGGAATGAGTGCTAATATGCATCCGTGTAGGCTTTTTGCGTCCTCAAAACTGCTTGAATTGCGATTGATAAGAGACTGGAGGGTGGCTTCCGAAATTATTTGTATATATAAAAATCTGTCTGGAATCACTAAACTGAATTGTCCGTTCAGGTAGTGGAAACTGCCCAAATCCCTTCAATGGGTCAAACATGGTGAGGCACTTGCTTGACTGATTTTGTTGATGGAATCATTAGTTCTTGGTATTGAGTAAGAGTCAGGTTTAGCAACAGCATTCAGCCATTACATATTTTTTAACATAAAAGTTTGGCAAAAATTGTAAAGTGAACTTCAGTCACTATGGATTGTTTCAATCATGTAAGCATCAAGCATGTATTGAACTCCCTTCTTTGGATTCATTCTTGTTTTACCTTCACCTGCATCAGGTAAATCCATTGACAAGGAAGGAAAATCCTGCAATATTTCTGACAGTTGAATCTTTTGATTCAAATGAATTTTACACTAAGGACACAACTTTACAGCTGAGTTATCTATAACTTAAGGGCTGCAATTGACAGTGAAGCTGCCAAGTCACAAGTTCAAACAGTATCACAATTCAATAAATTAGCTAGAGGAGAAACATGGCAAAAACATAAAGTAAGTACATTTTCAAGATACTAAGAATGTAATCTTAGTGGTATGATAAAATTGTCTTTCATACGAGAGCCAGGTGTTTGTATGTCCCTCTGAACTTACTCTCTTACACCATAACGAACGAACGAACGAACGAACGAATGAATGAATGAATGAATGAATGCCATCCCATATATTTCCAAATAGTAAGATACTGAAGAGTGTGACGAAACCTCTCTATAGTTACCTAATATGCAGGATGATTTGCACTGGATGCTTCAACGACGATGAGATATGCATAAACTAATACATAGACTGCTGAAGAAATGACATGAGATCCCTGATCTGACGGAATAACGACAAACGAAACATAATGAAGAACCTTTCTTTGAAAAATAACCTGAGCTGTAGTTTTACATGAAGGAATACACTCTCGAACATTCACCTGACTGGAAGCATGTACGGATTATGTGGGGTAGTTGGACCTTTCTTCAGATACATTTCTGCACGCAAGAAAGATATAGTATCATTGAAAACAATTGATTCTATTTCTTCTACTGATGTCAACTAACCTCACATCAACATAAGCGAATGGTCATAAGCAGGCTTCTTTCAAGTGTTTTGATTTTCTTGCTCATAAAGATATTGCTTAGCATCTTCACTGTTAGATTTGTGGAAACATTTGGGAGAAGATTCCTGGTGTTGATGAAAATCTAAGAATGCAAATAGATCCATATCATCCGTTTTGACTTTGTTTCCCTTAACTTGTATAAGCAGAAGATTAGCAGAGATAATCTGTTTCGGAAGATTATTCAGGGGATCAGGTTTATGTTACAAGGATGAACTGTGATTAAAGTGTTGTCGGAAATAGACAAAAAAACACTGTTTTTTCGCATTTATGTCTACGATGTATGTAGTTAATATGTGAAAATATGAAATATCTGTTAAACTAAGCTCGAACTACAGTCTCAGTGGTAGGGAGATAGGAAAAAGGACTTTACTGACGAGACATTTGTGCAGAAATGAGCAAAGCAGGGTTTTTTTCAAAGTCCACTGCGACTTATTTGAAACAGACCATGGCTTTATGTTAATTAGTGTGCGGAGATATTGTATTACAAAAGAAACTTTTTTAAATGCTCATTTTGAAATTAGAATTAGCTTCATTATGAACAATAGCTGACGTAAAAAATAACTGTAAGACTGAAACTGTTAAGGATGAAGCTACCATGGAGTCTCACAATCACAATAAAAAGAAACAGGTAAGAGGGGTCTTCTCAAAAGCATAGTCAGGACGGGTGTTGCAGACGGTAGTTGGGGTCGGGCTGGGAGATAGAGATATCAGCTAAGATGAGATAATCCTTTCGGGGAATTAAATGGGGAAGTAAACGGCATGTCAAAACAATTTACAAGTAATATCTAGTCATGTCGATCTTCGGGTGGTCATGTCACCTATATATTTTGAGACAATTAGTACGATGGCTAATTTAAGCTTTTCTATGGGTATCATACTCTTTTACATATCTCAACATAAACTTTATGACAGAAAGACACGAAAGATGTTAATCAATAGATGAGACATATTCAACGCACATGAAAAAGCATCAATATATCTTTGAGATGACCCCTTGTGCCCGTAGGCAGTACATGCATTTCATGCCAGTGAGTCGACGTTCCGTTGTCATACCTGGCTGAGCGACCTAATTGCCATCTATAGCCTGATGTATTGTTTTCAGCAGCTATTGGTATTTTTTCTAAGTTTGCACTATTTTACGAGTAAACCATCCTCGATAATCTCCAGGGTATACGTTACGATCACTTTCCACAGTGGAGAGTGATCGTAACGTATACCCTGGAGAGATATCGAGATGCGAGTAAACATGCATTTCTGGATATCCTATTATGCATCATTTTGAACGCCCAATCAGGCCGATGTGAGTTATTTCGACATATGCTATTTGCAATTGTGTAACTTTTAGGGATACAGTGTAAAAGCCAAAAAATATTTTTTCCCTATTTCCGACAGTACTTTAACTGTGATGACATGGGTGGTGTCTAGCGATATAATATTGCAGCAATATTACTGAGACTCACTGTGATAAAGGGCCCGGGGGACCAACTTAACACTCTAAGAATATCACATCACTCTTTCGACTTGTTATATGACAATGCTTAACACCTTATAGTGCGTGCTTTGAATGCAGATATGCAAAGCCCTATTGACAAACTTGAAGCGGATTTACTGCACATGCACATACGGATATTCTGTTAAAGACTCGTGAATAACCATGGATAAAAAAGCCACCCAGAATACTCTCTAATTTTAGTCTAGAGCTTTGACTTAATATCTTTTTCTAGGGTCTCGAGGGAGACTATATCCTTGATATGCTACAGTGGCTTGTTAACAACTTAGTCTTGCAGACAGAATCTGGTGATGGGCCACAAATCAGAGTAACATTACCGGGCACTCTGGTGAAACTAAAATCAATACCTTAAGTTATTTATGTGTTGAGTTAAGAACATCATTTTTTAAATATCTTATTACAACACAGTGGTGGTAGTTATCGACTGGAACACCAGGAACATGGCAGTCATGTCGTCAGGTCTGAGTCACCTGATATTTACGCCTGAATGCACAATCGTTGGTATCAAATGACTGTTCAGACCGAGCTGGTATTCATGATCCTGTTTCGTCGAACGCTGCATTGTTAACTTCGCTGTGTAAACGGACGGATGACTATCGATGGATGAGGGACATATTATATCACCGAACTAACATATCATATTCTGAACTCCAGCCGGACATACAGACATACACCTTACACTAACAGGTGAGATACATAGATCCTTTGATAAACAAAGAAAGAATTATGTATATAATTAGGATAAAGTTATGTTATAGAAGCAGATCCCTATGATGTACAGAAATATGTTCTAAACACCGTTGTCCGATTCTGTCATTATCATAACTATGTGTTAGTATCAGTTAGTGATGAGTGAGTGAGTGAGTGAGTCACATCGACAATATTTCAGCCATACCGTGAGTGAAGCTAAATATACATTAATGATTAAAAAGTAATAAATTTAAATCCTGTCAACAAAGGACAGTAAAGCAATTAGCTTATCAAAGATAGAGACATAAATTTAGCATGTAATTAAAAATGTTTGATATTATTCAGGAGAATACAATATATAAAACAGATCATAGGTCACCAGCAACTGAAGGCAGATCACTAAACCAGCGACCATGGGGACTTATAGCAGTTTGTGGTAATACCAGATGTACATATAAGACTTTACTGAAACCAAATGTGTAGGAAGACGATTGCTGAATACCTGATACATAAATGCATGAGTAGTGATAATATCAATTTGTAACAGACAAGAATCTTCACGACTCTGTCACAATGGTATACGGTATTATAAACCAATAGTGAGTGTTTTCCACAATCTGATTGGTTAATTACCCTTGTCGAATAGTGTTCGACATACCTGAAAATGATGGCCTTCCAACGCCGTCGGTTTTAAACTAAATTTGCCTATGTTGAATTCCAATGAATCCCGGAAATTGAACAAACCAAACTATTTTTTTCGAATTTCACTAGCTGATGAAGGTCGATATGGTACAAATCACCAACAAACTTGCTTTCAGAGTTTATCTGAGAAAACAGTGTATAAGTGAAGCTTTTATACGATCATGTACATAGATCCTACTTATTAATGAAAAATAATAACGATTTAGTGATCAAAACACATGTCTGCCTCTTTCATACCAAAGATCTAATATTTAGAAATTCTTGAATTACACTTGAAAATGGCATTCCTCGTCCTATTGTATGGTAGCACCAGGTAAAAATGTCTTGCTTTTGTTTTGCATCCTCACTCACTTCCGTTGTTGACGCCTGAGTTCACTCGAGGACATACCGACCCAGAGACGATATGAACTGATATATTTCGTAGATATATTGTTGGTGTTGACTGTTTCATATGCGTTTCTGTCCCGATGTTCATACCGTTGTACATGTGTAGTGTTTGACTAGGCGTGATAAAGTGATAAGATAAGAACAGACTGTGTCACATGTTCTAAATTCTAAGTGAGTTTAGTTTTACGCCGCACTCAGCAATATTCAGGCTATATGGCGGCGGTCTGTAAATAATCGAGTCTAGACCAGACATTCCAGTGATCAATAGCATGAACATCGATCTGCAAAACTGGGAACAGATGACATGTGTCAACCAAGTCAGAGCGCCTGACCACCCGATCCCGTTAGTCGCCAAGGATGGGTTACTGAAGGCCAATTCTAAGCCGGACCTTCACGAGTTCTAAATTCTAAATTGAATATTTGTATGTGCATAATATGTACATATTTGTTTAACAATGTAGATTTTATGATTAAATAACGTTTGTTATTATCAGAGACAAAAGTAAATGTAACATGGACTATTTTGATAATGATGTGAATAAAATTGTGGGATTTGAAACGGAGGTAGAGAGTTGGAATTGCACGAGATTAGGAAGAAGCTTGACATATCCATGAATGGTCCACAATGGTCACTTTAAAAGTATAGACGACCAGACGCTTATCATTTCCACTCAATGCAGCCTTAGGGGGTGCAAAACTCCCTCTGGTACCTCGTCCATAGAAACACCAGTTGGCAATATTAAATCAAGTTATAGACCGTCCCCCCTGTGGTCCCCCACCAGTAACGACCCAGAGTTACTGTGGCCCAGACGACCCCCTAGTTTGTCACCAACTGAACACGTTTGTCACCCATAACGACGTCATCCGAATCCCCCAACAACGCTGCAGGATGTCCACCAAATCCGTTCTCGGATATGAAGAGAACTTCCTCTGGACTTTGATCGATGTTAAGTGAACTCATTCTCCCCGGACTTTCATCGACGTTAAGTGCATTCATTGTCCCTAGGACCTTCGTCAACGTTTACTGCATTCGTTGTCCCTAGGACTTTCATCAACGTTTAGTGCATTCATTGTCCCCAGGACATTCATCAACATTTACTGCATTCATTGTCCAAGGACTTTCATCAACGTTTAGTGCATTCATTGTCCCTAGGACCTTCATCGACGTTTAGCGCATTCATTGTCCCTAGGACCTTCATCAACGTTTAGTGCATTCATTGTCCCCAGGACTTTTATCTAGGGTTAGTGCATTCATTGTCCCCAGTACTTTCATCGAGGTTTAGTGCATTCATTTTCCTGACTTTAACCAACGTTTAGTGCATTCATTGTCCCAAGGACTTTCAACAACATTCAGTGCATTCATTGTCCTCGGGACTTTCATCAACGTTTAGTGTATTCATTGTCCAATGACTTTCATGGACGTTTAGTGTATTCATTCCAATGATTCATCCCATTGTCCCCAGGACCTTCTTGAACGTTTAGTGCATTAGTTGTCCCCAGGACTTTCATCAACGTTTAGTGCATTCATTGTCCTCGGGACTTTCATCAACGTTTAGTGCATTCATTGTCCTCGGGACTTCCATCAACGTTTAGTGCATTCATTGTCCTCGGGACTTCCATCAAGTACTTTCATCGAGGTTTAGTGCATTCATTATCTTATGACTTTCACCAACGTTTAGCGCATTCATTGTCCCAAGCACTTTCATCGACGTGTAAGGCATTTATTGTCCTCGGGAGTTTCATCAACGTTTAGTGTATTCATTGTCCTATGACTTTGATCGATGTTTAGTGCATTCATTGTCCCCAGGACCTTCATGAACGTTTAGTGCATTAATTGTCCCTAGGACATTCATCAACGTTTAGTGCATTCATTGTCCTCGGGACTTTCATCAACGTTTAGTGCATTCATTGTCCCGGGACTTCCATCAACGTTTAGTGCATTCATTGTCCTCGGGACTTCCATCAACGTTTAGTGCATTCATTGTCCTCGGGACTTCCATCAACGTTTAGTGCATTCATTGTCCTCGGGACTTCCATCAACGTTTAGTGCGTTCATTGTCCTCGGGACTTTCATCAACGTTTAGTGCATTCATTGTCCTCGGGACATTCATCAACGTTTAGTACTTTCATTGTCCCCTGAAGTTTCATTGATACTAAGTGCATTCATTGTCCCTAGGACTTTATCGACGTTTAGTGTGTTTTCATAACGGCGAGTTGGTACCGCCAATATGCTTCATTAATGTCACTACATTGTATGGCTAACTCTGAAAACGGCACACAAACGACACGAGTTTGATGTTGACGTGGCGCGATCTTGCATCAATGAATTGTATTAGTATTTTTGCTCAGTTTCAATGTGATTTTGTCACTTGATGAACAAATGAAACAAACAAACATCTATCTTAAAACAAGATCAGTATGATGATTAAAGTGTGTCATTGCGATAGTAGTAAGGGGTTGTGTTGAGTTTTACGCTGCTTTTAGCATTATACCAGCAATATCACGGGGGGGGGGGGGGGACACCAGAAATAGACTTCACACATTGTACCCATGTATAGCGATAGTAAGTAGTATCAGTGTGAATGTTTGTTTGATGTTTAGTGCCGCTCATCCACAACCATCTGTAAAACATCTGGAACACAGATATCAATGACTGAAATTATGACATATCTACGCCATCCGTTATGGTCACCTGCTATCATTGGCACTGTCTGACCACCTCACTAATGCTTTTACGAAATGCATTAATGGATGCTGCTCGGGACCTATTACTTGAAAGTATACGGCTGTGTTAGTAATGTTCTAGTTGATGAAGTCATGGCAGACAGATAACACGACGTTCATCTGGTCACTGTTGGTGGACATATTGGGTATTTGTTAATGTCTGAGGATGTAGTCAAAAGAGGTAAGTTAATGGATATGGTAGAGGATCGTTGACGTTTGGTTGACGGCTCATCAGTGGTGATCATTGATCATTGTATTGATTAATATTTATTCTTTCTTTAAAGCTGCTTTGGTAATCTGTTCGAGTAGTATTATCTAGCCGATCTGGTGTGCCGAACCTAACAGTTCCATGGATTCTGAAGCAGTAAAAGATGTTCCTGATGTCATTTCTGAAATGGATGTTAGACCGTATCAGCACGATCCGATTTAACATCTTGCAAGACAATCTTCCAGTGAAGACGAAGAAGAAGAATCAAGGGAAACGGAGGCACTGCTTGAAGTAAAAAACCTTTTAAAAATAGACCATATAATTTAACAAGAATACTACTTGTCAGCAAAATGTGATACAGTTCCAACCAGCAAACCCAGTCCTATAAATATATGACCAATCCCTAAGAATGATATTTTTTGCAATGTGATTGCAGTTCCTTTTGGGTCAAATGGGTGGCTGTAGAGTGTCTGGGATATAAAAACAAAATGATTATGCCTCAGACGGGGGAAAATAGAAATTATCTGCTACAAAAATTATACTGGAGTTATTTTCGTTTAGAAAAAAATATAGGATCCTAATTCTGATTAATAACGTCTCAAGTCTCCATACAAAATCCCAGCCTGGTCGAGCAGAGATAATATTCGCGACGCAGATAAGTTATTCCCCGAAAAAACTGGTGAATTATTATGTACTAGTCACGGCAATGTATGTTCCTCAGTGTTTGGTTATGGAAATAGCTACATATGTGGTACTTGGTCATAGCCTTAGAATGACATCTTGTCAGCCAATGAGAATACAGACCAACTTTCACGGCACATACTACTGACAAATAGCGAGTCTGATGCTGACGTGCGTAATTGGACAAAATTGAAAAAAATGAAAGCAACAAGTACTTCATGATTTGCCGTTGTATTCGGCAATGGTTCGGGTAGAATGCAGCATTTAGGGCTCCAAACCGAAAAGAACGTTATAG